GTGGTCTGCGACCAAGTGAGTGGTCGCGGAAGTGTGGCGGATGGAACTGAGAGTCTGGGTATAGATTCGGAGGCATCAAAGAGACAGGAAAAAGAGGGTGTCAGTCATGGTGAATCAGATGATGTGACAGGTGTTAAAGGTGATGGTGGGGTTTTGGGCCTTTGGGGAGTCAAGTGGATAAAGCCACCAGGAAAATCAGGGGCAGTGAGATCTAGGTGATCCAACATGGTGGATATCTGATCTGCCGAGATATCAGGAGGAGTGATCACGGGTAGTACCCATGGAATGTCAGCAGGTAATTGCGCGTGATCCGGTGTTACAGGTGAAACAGGGTGGAAAATGTCAGAGTCTTCTGACAGGTTGAGATTGCGAAAGTGCAGGTGTAAATTTTCTAGTTTGGTGTGTTTGGTGGTGGGACTGAGCGACCTTCTGGAAGTGACAGCAGAATCCCTCATGGTGGGCTCCAGTTGTAGGAAAAGTCCAAGTAGCTGTATAATATGAGCTAGATGGCTTAGATAACAACAATAAAAAAATGAAGGGAATGAATTGCTCATCCCAAGGGATTCTGGACTGTCGAGACTACAAGGTGAGACCTGGTGCTTTGTAGCAGTAGTGGTTTGTGATGTGTGTGGCATGGTCTGCAGAATAGTACTGGCAATGCGAGCAGTGTGAGCAGTATATGTAGTTCATGCACAGCGGAATGCAAGATGTGCAGTATAGACAAAGTGTAAAGGAAACTTGTGGTGACCTTCCGAGTGCCAAAAGGTATCCTTCTGTACCTAAGTACAGGGCTTTATAGTCCAGACAAACCCAGAACCTAAGTAAGACAGGGTACAGTAAGGGAAAGCCGTGTGACAGTGTGTACACAGAAGACAGGCCAAAACAGAGGCTGAGGGTATACTACAAGCACTAAAGGAATAGAGACCGTGATAAGAGAAAGAGTCCGAGGAAAAACAACAACCAGAGCACAGTGGCCATGGGTATAGCATTGCCAAGAGGGAGTGAGGGCATGGGAAGGTAGCACGTGAACAATGGTGAATGTGAGAGGGGAGCGGATGTAACAGTAGTCATGGAACAGTTAATGATAGGGGCTTACGCATCCAGGGAATGCAGATTCCTCACACCAGTACACCACTCCTGTTGCAGAACTACAACCTGCCTCCACATGTGCGAAACTCACAGCAAAAACCTATTGTGTGCATTGGAACTATTCCTGGCCTGCACCAACCCAAGGACCTTCATTCTTTTCTCATTCCCCTGGACAATGAATGTGCTGAGCTAGCATATGGTGTCCAGACTTTCAATGCATCCCAGCAAGCCCTTTTCAAGATGCATGCATATATCATCATCAAATCTGGTGATATCATTACAATTCGAGTGCTTCTTAAATCTCAAGGGCCATAACTCAATCTTCCCTTGTTCATTCAGTGCAAGGTGAAAGCTGTTCATGGCTTAGGCAAGACCTATTATGTCCCTCTTCACCCACCATCTCAAAACCACAGTGCAAGGACCCTCTATCAACCAGCCCCTTTATGACACCATGATGACTTCTCAGATGTAATGGTGAGGATTGCAGTGGCCTGAAACAAAAAAAGAGATGGTGATGATTCGCAAAGGAGACTGGCATCAAAGGATTGCCAGGCCAGACTCATGTCAGGTCCTTGGATTATGCACAATTGTCCCCATGGGAATGGTTTCATTTGTTCTTAGAGAACATTGTCCTGAACCTTGTTGACTTCTGGACAGGCCAATTCAAGGGTCTTGGGATGGGTAATGAAGACTTCGAAATTGTGACCAAAATTTGGGAGGAGATTGGAAAAGAAACTGCTGCTGCTCTCTGACACACACCATCTACATTTGTCTGTGTGCTCGTGAATATTGCAACAGACTGCTCACTCTTTATGGCAGAGACATGGTGTTTTTGGTTCATGCATCTTGCTCTGAAGCTACTGAAGGGGCGCTTTCCCAAAGACAAATACTACAAGCACATGTGTGAGCTAGTGGCAATTATGAAGGCTACTTTACAGTTTCACACCCCACACGGACAACTTGATGATATCAAAAGATGTGTTATAGATTGGGTGCAGAAATATGAGAGGTATGTGCATTTCTGATTCAATTGTATCGCAACACTAATTTTTGTCATTAGATACTATTATCAATATGACATTGAATGCCTGCCAGCTTGCACGCTCATGATCCATGGTATCTTACATGTCATACAGGGTATCTGAGACTGTGGGCCAGTGTGGACCACTTGGACCTTTCATATGGAGCACTTTTGTGGGATGCTCCAGAATACACTCCATTCATGCAGCCACCCTTGGAGTAATTTAAATAAAGCATTACTTCATCACACATACCTGGAACAGTTGCAGATGTGATACAACCTTTCAGATGAGCTTGCAAATGAGGACAAGCATGAAGATGATGGTCCAATAGGATATGAACTGTGTCCTCAAGGATTGTGAGTATGCACCAATGTTACTTACATGCAAAAGTCATTCTCAAACTGACCAGACCCAGACCATGTGCTTCGGCCTCCCTATGAGATGGCACACAAGCTTGATTGTGACCTCCAATGAAAGGATCGCACGATACTTGGGACAAGTACTTGGCAAATGCAGCTCAGAGATCAAGAAACAGCTTCCAGTGCTTGCACTGTTTACAGCAGGCAAGCTTAGGGTCCGCCATGGTGGAGACTAATTTCGGACTAAAGAAGTGTCATGCAGATTTGGTGCATTAGGAGCAGAGGAATTGCTATGTCAGAGTAGGTCCATCATGGTCAGATACTCATAATGTCTCTAGTTACTAAATACCACAGTTCGAAACAGTGTTTGAGACCTGCACAGGTTCTGTCTTAACCCAAACTGGGTATGGTGACCTAGAAAAAATAATAGCCCTCGTTTTGCCTGCCACACAGGCTCTTAGGAGAACTCAGAGGCAAAACCATTGTTGTTTCACTTGTTAGACCATGGGACACAGATGGAAAGGTAGCCTCAGAAGAGGTCATGTTCTTTGAGTCTCAAAAAGCAAGGATAATTATGGATATCAGGAGCTTAAGAGCATGTTGTAGGCCTAGTCAAGATGCGAGGGAGATGGGGTATCATTGACAGGGCACCTGGGACAGTGATGACAACCTTTGCAGACAATATGATGGAAGGATATTTACATGATGAACATGGTGATGACGATGACTTCATCTTGTGAGAGAAGTAGTTGATTCAATATAATACCATATACATGGGAATCATGGTGCGACGATGTGCAGGATATTGATACATATATACACACTGGGGAGAGATGTGATCCCATTCCAGGTGCGAGCCCTGACTCAGTACACTCCAGATCCAAAAAGCTACCTGAAGGATGTCACAATGGACCTGCACCCACAATAGTCAATGACATCTCCACTTGAGAAGGTGACTCCTGCAAGTTATCAACATCGTCACACAACACTGTCCTGGTGGTGACAGAGCCCACATTGTGGCCATTGACTGGTGATGGTGGAGCTGGAGATGGCTTGAGAACTCTTCATGATGGGGTTGAAGGTAAGGGCGATGGTGGCAGCTGCAGGAGGGGCTGACTAGGAGGGGGGACAGGTGGATGGATGCCAAGATGGTGCCAAGAGCCAACATTGTTGAGCCCAGTGTTACAGGTCCTTGGGAGAGGATGCTGGGACAAAGGATAGTGAAAGTGGTGTGTTCAGTGGTACTTGCCTTCGCCAATTTCAGAATGTTCTGGTGTGTATGGATTACTTACCCACACCAGGGGTGAGCCAAAAAAGACAATGCACCTTCACTCAATTGATGATCTTGAAGCATCCAGAACTATCAACTTCTGCGACATCCCCAGTGTGTATCCAGCCATCCCTCAGCATCTCCTGGGTAGTCTTCTCATCTGATGGATACCATTTCTTTTCACAGGCCTTAGTAAATGGCGAAGAGGAGACGTACCTTTATAATATCCCATGAAGCAGTTCAGGCTGCAGACACATAACTCTCCATGTGGGTTCGGCTTATCATTAGACAGGTAATTCATCGCTGGAAGGTTGATGAGTTTGACTTCAAGAATTGGTTGAGGCAGGCCAATCGCCCTGCCACCAGTTGGGTCTCCCTGCGAAGTGCGCATGCAAACTCCACAATTCTCTGTCATGCCATCACTGCCCAGAGTCATTAATGGAACATAATTGAGTGATGCCGCAACCTCACTTACCCTGGATGAAAAATTAGTGAGGGAAGGAAAAGAAGTAGGTTCATCGCACCTTCTGTAATACCACAACTGAAAGCGATCTTGAGGAAATCAACCACTTCACTGCTAATGGGAGCAGAACTGGTGACCATCAGCAAAATGTTCCCTCCAAGTGCAGCACGAATCTGGAAGCCAAGCAGAGTGAGCCAATCGAGTACTGCATCAAGAAGCCTGCCATGAACCTTGCAGGAACACCAATGCTGTCCCATATGATGTGGGCAGTTACCCTGGTCTTGTGAAGTTGATCTAGTTTTCGTCTGCACTGCTGTTTGGAAAATAGCACCCTTCACACCCAGCACATTACCAGCAGACATGGCAGCTTGGTATACCCTATTCAGCACTCATGGTACTGATGGGAAAAAGTGAGGTTTCAAGGCGTCATCCATCAAGTGCAAGGGGTTCGCCAGTGGAGTACCCAATACATCCACCCACATGTGATTACCATCAATTCGCAAATCTGCTGCACACTCAAATCATGGAGATATGTTATTAGACTTCAATAGCATCCCATGAACCTCATAAATGTGTGCCAGTGGCAAGTATGACATGAGACAGCAGCCCAGGGGAAAGCTGGTACCAAAGGTGTTAGCATACTCCGCACTCGTGAGATTCATGTGGGTGATGATTGCTCCTGTGAAAAGATAAGTTAAGAACCACTGGCATCATGAATGGTATTCCACCTTTTGGCAAGTTTGTTGTTCCCTATCATCCAGAATGAATGAAGCAGCCAATCAAGAGTGCAATTAGGAATGTACCGAGGTATAGCACAAAGAAGCAACCTGATCAGGAGACACTGGGAGAGGTTCAATGAGGTTTCCTCGCCATATGTCTCAACTGTACAACTGAAGGTCAGTGTGCAGGCCTGCCTGTCAAAAAAAAAAACAATCACAAGTCGATTTTGTGACCATATACCAACTGTCTCCATGTCTGTTGCCTTGAGTGTGAAAACTGCGAAAACCTACTACATGATATGGGCAACAGATGTCAGCCAACGGTTTCATGAGTAGGTCAAGGAGGTTTGGGTGCATGAGCACCAGCTCACAGAAATGGGCAACAGATGTAGGCCAACTGTTTCAATGAGCTGAGAAATCATGAACACTTACTCCATGATATGGGTGACAGATGTCGGCCAACGAAGGCTCAGCAAAATGGGTGACAGATGTCAGCCAACAGTTTCATGAGCAGGTCGAAGAGGTTTGGGTGCATGAGCACCAGCTCACAGAAACAGGCAACAGATGTAGGCCAACTGTTTCAACAAGCTGAGAAATCGTGAACACTTACTCCATGATATGGGCAACAGATGTCGGCCAATGGTATCACAAGTAAGGTTCAGTGAAATGGGCGACAGATGTCAGCCAGCAGTTTCAACAATCCTGCAGAGTTAGTATTAGAAGCTGCTGAGATTTGAACATACGTGACATACTGTGGTCGGTTACATTGTGTGGACCTGTTTTCACATCAACAACAATTTTCTTGTTGCAAGTTAGCATGTCACATGTCAACATTTCATTAAGGAACTATCCATGGCCAGAACAAGGCAGAACACCAAGAAAACCATGTCCAGTATTGCGCCACGAGTGCAAATCATTCATGCTGCTCATGCCACCCCCATCCAATGTGCATCCATGCAGTCCACCTCAAAGGCTTCAACACTGAGTTCATTGACATCCATTCCATCCTCTCAGGGACAGTCCCCTCTGGCTGAGGAGTGGCGTAACTGGGTATGTACTATAGGTCCATCCTCCTATCACTGCTAACATGATAAGTAGTATTGCTACCTTTGCCACAATGGAGCTAAATACTTATTTGAGTGCTGTTCCTGCCCTCGCATTGTATGCGACCCCTGCTTAGGATTAGCGCAGTGGCTCATGGACAAGGCCCATGCCAAGGACATAGACTTCCAGTTTCCTGGTTGCCATGAACTCAAAGAGGGTGGTGCAAAGTGCAAAGAGCTACATCCATACTTTGTGAGTTATTCATCATTCACAATCTGAATAGAGCTGACATGAGTCCAAGCCATTCATGTGCACGGTACTTGGGAAGAGAATTCCCATGTTGGATAAGCCAGTCATCATCTTGGGGATTTGTGAAAGGGCATCTAAGTCTCAAGTGTGTGCCAAGTCCACCCTTATTCTTGAGCTTGTCTGCACAGGAGTGGAAATTCAAGGTTCATTGCCATTGCTCCTCAACATGACCATCAAGGAATATCACACAAGCAACTCCCTTCTGTATCAAAAAATAATCTTCAATTTTGGTACAGATCAAAAGTTTAGTCAGTGGAGTACGAGGATCAAAAAACTGGGTGAAAAGTTGGGCATGTATGCCTTCAAGCACAAGATCATATTCATTACTGTTCATAGTGAAGTCACCCACAGTGACCTGTTTGCAGGGAAGGGTGAGAGTGGTGAGGATGTTGCAATGGAGGTTGGTGAGGTACATGACTGACATGAGGAAGTTACTCTCTCTCATCCATTTCAGTTCATGAAATGTCCTGTTCGCTTCTCCCCTGCAAAACATGGTCTATGGTTCTACACTGTTTATGTTGACTTGTGGCCCCATGGTTTCCTTTGAACAATCATTAGTGGCATTGAAGCAATCTATCATGCAGTCAGTTATTAATGATTGATCTATAAAGAACCTTACTAACTGTTGCCAAGACTCCAGCCAGAGTATATGGTCGCATTCACCACCAAGGATTTCCTCAATGCAGTCATCAAAATTTTCATCATGTGTCATATGGTGTCAAAGTCTTGATTGAAGGACATGCTCTGGAGAACATTATCCATGACCTACTTGACATCTCACTCAAACTTTGGATGCACACTGATGTGATGCTCTTTCATCTTTCAGGCCTAGGATTGCCAAGGGTGCCCATGGTTACTTAGCCCTGCCCCACTCACTGCTGCCCCCTCTCCTCACCATATACAGGTACTCATGGTACCACAGCCATTGGGCACCCATGGGGCACATCTCTATCCATGGGGTGCCTGAAATGTGGTGCCATCCATCCATGGGCACGATCAAAGCTGGACTCTCATCCACCAAGTGGTTATCACCCGAAGACTCGAGTGTCCACATGCCGCAAGTGCACCTTTGAAGTGTGTACTCAGCCTCTACCAGTTGAATATGACATGCTCCATGGCAACCCTACATCTGGGTGGCTCAAATACACTGTTTGCGCTGCAGTGCCACTGTGATTTCATGCGTTTGTCTGTCATTTATATGCTTGATACTTCCAAAGTAATGTAATACCACATCTGCATGCAATCTCACTTTATTGGTTTGACAACTTGGTGTGAGTAAACAAGGTGACAATGTCATGTACTAAATATCAGTGCCAGTAAACTTCAAGTACTGAAAATCAGTGCCAACAAACTCGGGGCACTGGTTTTCAGTGTTGCAAAATATGTGGTACCAGGAATCAGTGCCAGCAACTGAAATTTAGTGCTCCAAAAAATGCACACTGAAAATCAGTCCCACGAAGACAATGCTGAAAAGAAGTGCCCACTAGATCAGTGCCAGTGGTACTGATTTTGCTCAAATCAGTACCACTGGCACTGATATTCAGTGTGTTTACTTCCCGCAGTGTACAGCAATAATGTTGGCACTTACAGAATACCTACAGCCTCACCATTTTCACTGTACAGTACACTTTTTCATAATGTATCTGGTCATAATGTATAATTCTCATAACATATGGACTTTAGGCAATTCCCACTGTGGTATGCAGGGAAAATGCAGTATTTTTGTATAATGTATAATGTATAGCCCACAAACTACTTTCATACAGTATGAGATACCCTGTTAGCAGTGATGAGCATATGGAAGTTGTTAGGATGACTTGCCACCTGGCAGATTGGAGCCCACCACTAGCCTGCACTAGCACAAATAGGGTACAGAAGTGAAAAAAAAAAAAAAACTGTGTTCATTACAGACCACCATGCCAGCTGAGCTTGGGGAGCATAGACCATGGCCAAAGCCAGCTCCCTACAATCAGCAACCAAGGGCACAGCCAACCAAAAGCACTCCTGCCACATCAGCCATCTTGGCAAAGCCAAAAAGACATGAAAATCTCACTCTTAATGATTGGCTAACAGTCTTTGCATACATTGACAAGCACCCAGACCTACCCCAAGACCAAGTTGTTTCATACTTCAGCTCATGAGTGGAGGGTGTTTTGAAGTTCACTGAGGCAACTCTTTCCTGAAAACTAAAGGAAAGGGAGGAGCTGGAAGCATGAGTACAAAGCCATCCAGATGCACTTTTGAGGAAATGCCCTTGTGCAGTCACAGGTCCAGAGGTCAAGAAAGCACTCTTCAAGTGGATCAAGCACATGGAAGAAACGGGGGAGGTGGTGAATGGCCCAATGCTGCAAGAGAAGTGGAAACAGTTTGAGGATGAGTTCAACATTCCAAATGAAAAGCACCTTCATGGTGAAGGGTGGATTGCACCTTTCTGCAAGGCATACAAGATCAAGGAATACTGGCAACATGGAGAAGCTGGATCCATTGATCCAAGTACAGTGGACAGTGAAAGGGCTTGTGTGCAGAAGGTCCTGGCAACATTTCCACTCAAGGACAAGTGGAATTTCGATGAAACAAGTCTGTTTGCATTGTGAGTGTCACACAACCAGATTTTCACAAGTGCACTCACCTTTTGACAATGGGTAGTGCTCCTCCTGATCATGGACTTGCAGCAAAACAAATGAAAGGGAAGAAAAAGGAAAAATTCCAAATTACACTTGGGCTTGCCACAAATGCAGATGGGAGCAAGAAGATGCCACTGTTCTACATTGGGTGGTCAAAGAAGCCACACTGCTTTGTAAACAAGACACCACAGCAGTATGGATTCTACTACCATAACAATCAAAAAGCATGGATGACTGCAGATTTATTTGAGGAGTAAGCACAAATCTAAACTTGTCAGCCCCACTAAACTCATACCAACCACATCTCAGGTGGGTGAAGATGTTCAATAGGAAAATGGGTAATGAAAAGTGTTATGTGTGCCTCTACGTGGACAACTTTAGCAGTCACTTGATCACCTACAAACCATGACACATTCAGCTTGAGTCCTTCCATCCAAATCTTACCTCACATGTCCAACCAAATGATGCTGGCATCATCTGTTCATTCAAAGCCCACTATAGACCGGGTTTTGCCAGCATTGTGGGACACTACCTCTGGGTAGCATGTGATTAGGGGGAAAGCTGTAGGGTAATCCCTAGGCTTGACCCAAGGGGTGCTGAGTAGGAAGGAGATGTAGAATTCAATGGTAGAGTTGATCAGGAAGTTGAATGTAGGGATGCAGGGTGCAGAATTTAATTCTGCAGTGTTGTAGATGATTTGGGTCCGAATAGACTTGTTTATGAAATTCTGAGTGATGATCTTGGCATGAGGAAGTAATTCTGAGTGACTTGTGAGATATGAAGGTGATGTCACACACCAAAGGTGTTTGGTGAGGATACAGCTGATGAATGGAGATGAAGACCATAGCCCTCATGCAAAGAAGGACAGCCAGGAATGTCAGCAGTCATCCCTCACACAAGAACAGGTCATCAGTGCCAGAGAAAAGGAAAGGGAGCAGGTTAAGTGCTGGCTAAAATTCTTAAGCACCCATGTATGGCATTGCAGTTTTTGACATATCTCTGCCATTTCTGCAGATACCAAGACCATTCCCACACTCACTTCTAGTGCTCAGCCATGTGATCTTACCTTCCAAAATTGGAAAGGATTTGCACACTCCACATGTTTCTACAGCACTCCCTCCAAAAGATGCTCATTTTGCTAAATTCTTCTGATATGGCTGCTTCTACATCAATCATTTCGCTTGTCCCCTTTGCTAGGGACCATGGCTACATATATCTACCAGGAGTTCCTACCAGCTTCCATCCTGAAGCATCCTGGTACATCCCACCCTCATCTGTGCCCTTTCAGCCCATCCAGCTTGGACAGTGTGTTCTTTTTGTCAGTATGACCTCTAGGAGGACATTCTTTGGTTGCCTCAGGTCTGTCATTTGCTTGGAAAGGTCTTATGTGGTTGTTTCAGTCTCTCCAGTCCAAGAAGCATATGGATCCTTCCTCCCTGCTCCCTGCAATGTTTTCATACCAGTCTCGTCCATCATTCTTCCAGGATTGCGACAGCCATAGTATAGTCTACTGTTCCCCACTCTCCCTGATCGCATCCATGACAAGTATGATGCACATCTTGCCTCCTTGTTGCAAGATAGAGCAGAAGACACTCCCCCTTCATCCTCTCTTCCAACAGAGCCTTGTTCATGAAGTTTTTATTTGCTTCACTGAGAGGATGGTTTGGGGGGGAACGTTGTGATCCCCTATGCTCCTGTCACCCCACAGACCCCCAAAGCTTGACCCCTGTTGACATCTGACTCACCCTGTCCACTTTTGGATGTACTATATCAGCATCAGATCAGCGCTGCCTCTCTGTCATCCCACCTTGGCCTAGAAGCAATCTCTTCGAGATGTGACATGCACAGCCTCCCCTAATATGATTCCAGTGCACTTTCCCAGTTCCTGACATTACTTGACTCATACTTTGATGTTCTGACTGTCTCTGACTCACCTACTGCCAATACTTACCAATCTTTTGACTTTGCTTACTGATTCTTTGCTTTTTGGCTTGCTAATCCTTACCAATGCTTACCAATGCTTTCCAAGACAATTACCCATCACTTACATTCCTTACTCACCAGTTACCAATCACTTACCAAGTGTTTGCACCTTGTTTTCCAAGGGCAACACCCCTGTACTGTATATAAATCACTGTACTTAGATAGCAAAAAAAAGGAGAAGACATCAGAGAGCCCCTCTTGCTTGCATTTTATCATCACTCAGTAAATCATTCAGCAGCTTTGATAGTTGAGACTTTATTAAGGGTCTAACTATTGTCTACTTTGCTTATCCTTGTCTATCATCAATATACTTCACTCCAAGCCCTCCATGAGCTCAGTGTAGCTTAGGACATCAAATTAAGTCATCATCCATCCTTCTGTAGGCTGACAGCAGTCTACCCTATTGCATTCTCTTGCATTCCTGCTCCTTCTTCATCAGGAGCACCCCCAACCCTCAGCACTCGTCTTTGAGTGTTGTAGCTCACAGAAACCCTCCCAAAGAACAGGTTCTACCTTCTAGGTACCACATAGGCACACCACCACTCACTCTTTTTGTCTTTTGTGTTGGTTTTGGTTGGTTTTCACCACTGAACCACACTTTGACTCACAGTGAGACACAGATACATGGAGGACACAAAAGACCTGGTAGACACAGATTGATGCTAGAAATGCAGATGACACAGTAGACACAGAGGATGCAGCAGACACTTTGAATACTTAGTCACATGAATGACTCAGATAGTGACTCCAAAAGATGGGTGGTATTTTTCTGTCACTGAGGTGGAATTATATAGTACATGGAGAGCAAGGTACTGATCAGGATAATATGGGGTGGGATGAAGTAAAAATTCTGAAAAATAAAGGGAGATGTGACAGATGTCAACCCACTACAGAATCATGTGAAAACAAACTGAAAAGCAGTAACTGAGAGAAAAAAAAAGGGAAAGATGGGTATCTTTCAACAAACAAGCATACTGTGTACCATAGAGTAGTGTACATGAAGGATAGAGGCTGTAGATGCAAAGGGGTTCTTGCATTGTGGAGAACGATTCATGGGAAAGGAATGAGAGGGGTAACTGGAGTTTATTACTGGTGATCTGCATGATTGCCTGGCTACATGGTGAGGCAAAGGATGAGGTGACATGAGTGCAGAATTCCAGATAGATGTATGTCAGGTTGATGTTGACATGGAATTCCAGGATGATGACTGGTGTGTGTTATTGATGGACAGGGGAGCTCTGAAGGTTCAACAGGCAAGGCAGTGCATGAGGCTGATGCAATAATTCTGAAGATGACAGACATGGAACTCAGATAGGGGTCAACTTTGGTAACAGTGGAATTTTGGTGTTGGCATCCCTATTTTGGCCTCAGGGAGTATACCACTCCCTACACCTCCCAGGGTCTTTGAATGCTGACCATCCTTGGTCAGAGGTCATTGAGTCACAACAGAAGGGTGGTGGAGATCTGGCAGGTGATGTAAACAAAGATGGCTTGTGTTCAGCCATGTGCCTTGTGTGAGTAAAAACACTGCACACAGATAATGTGTCAGCAACAGCCCTGCAGAAAAAAAACTCACCCAGAAACTGTCTCATTGTCAGACTTATCCTTGCTACCCCACCATCCCACTCTCAGATTCTCGCTTCCTTTGCCAACTACCATGCAAGTTTACTCCATCAATGATGTGCATCCCATGTTCAGCATGAGGGACCAGGAAACCATGGCACTCACTGTAGCTCTAGGGCATGTCTGGGACCTGATTGAGGTGGTGCCACAGCCAGAGGAGAGTTTGGAGACCATCTATGCATGGGTAGAGGACTGGGACAAGACATGGGTGAGTAAACCTTCCACAGTAGTGTGTCACATGTTGACAGAGTTCTGCAGGCCAGCATTTGCTCATGGTGGAGATATGTCAATGACAATGGAATTTCCATATCAAAGGTTCACGATGAATGCATGCATGACTACACCAAGGAATCTGCGATGTGCCAAAACCTTCTAGTCCTGGGTGCCATTGCCATTGCTAACCTCCAGCACCCAGTGGAGCAGAGATGGATCCATATTGATGACATTTTCAAAGACTATCAGGAGAGAGTAGAGTTGAGGGTGTAGCTCAAGGCAGAGAGGTTGACAAGAGAACCTTCTATGTGCATGTGCAGACAGGCAGCAATGGCAATAGGTGAAGGTCAAGGCTGCATGCCCAGCAACACTGGAGCAGGGGAGTCTTTGAGGGGGACTGGAGGACAAGGGAGGCAACAGATGGATAGTACAGGCAAGGGTAAGGGTAAGGAAAAGGTACATCCTACCCTCCAGGGGACTCCAAGTGTGATGACTAACATTCAGAAAAACTCTGCAGGCCACAGATGAAGTTGACAAGCTGGAGAACAATGAAGGCAACCACCCACCTAACCCAGACCCATTGAAAACTGGTGCTCTGGCACCCAAAGCCAACCTTCCATGCAGGGAGTGCACAAAGGCAAATGCAGAGTGTGAAGGGCTACCTGTGGAGTCGTGCAAGTGATGCAGGCAGGCCAAATGGAAGTGCAGCAGGTCACTCAAAGTGGGTAGGAAGGTGAGTACAAGCTGATCATGACATGAAGAACAAGGGCACTGAACTGTAACACAGTGCAAGAATGCTGGTAGTGGAGAGACAGCTGCTGGGCCATCACACAAATGGACCAAGTCAGTGACAGTGATGACCAAAACTCCAGCAATGACTGGGCTGAAACTTTGGATCCCTGCTCACAAACCACCCCCTAGGCAAAACTCCAAACTGACTCCCAGGCACCCAACATCTCATGCTAGTCCTCCTTCAACCTTGAACATGCCTCCTCCTCCCACACCTTGACCACCTCTTTTCCTTCCATCAGCAACCCCTGCACCTTGAGCTCACCCTGAGCCAACTCCACCACCTATGGACAATCTGGGAGATCTTAGCAACAGTGGACTCCTTGGTAGACCAACCGGATTATTGGATGATCCACCCACACCTGACATCAGTGTGCAGGACCTGTCCAAAGTTCGCCCAGTAGAAGAAACTCTGCTGGTTGCAAACCTGGGTGATACAACTACATGCAAGGCTCTTGCTGAGCACATTCAACTTCCAGAGAACAGGGCAGATGATGAAGAGTTTGAGCTGACCCAGATCCATCAGATGCTGGGGCTGTTGGCTATGTGAGTAGAGCAGCAGATTGGTGCAGTTCAGGGGCGACACGAGGAGCTGAAGAGGGTGAAGGATCAGCTCAAGGATATGTAAGTATGTGTACAGTAGCATAAACAAACTGCAGAATTGTTCTAGATGTGTCTTTGGGTATTTTGAACAGAATTATCATTAAGTAAGGAGCAGGAAAAGAGAATGAATCAGCAAGAGACAAGAGACAAGAGAGAGATGAGTGGATTTTTATTTATTTTTTATTTTATAGCTGATGACTGTTTTCTTGTGAGCAGAGACAGTTTTGCTTTATATGAGATGAAGATGGATATACATATAAGCAGAAAGAAAGATGGAAAAAGAGAGAGAAAAGAAAAGAAACAAAAAGGGTAGAGAGAGATATGCTACTCATCTGACTCATCCTCAGGGATGCCAGTGAGTGTGGGTCTGGTAGTGAATTGTCTTCCAGGCAATCTAAGTTGCATGTGGAAATTCCAGGCAACTGCATGACTTCAATATGAGAGGTGTTCTGTGGGAAATAGGGGTAAAGATGGAAGGCAGCAAAATGGAATTTGGACACAGCACCATCTAATTCTGCCAGGATGTATGAGCCTCCTTTGGTGTGATGGATGACAATCATTGGGCCTAGGTACTGCGGTTTGGTCTTGCGATCAAGCTCTTGCTCGATACATGAATTCTGCACAAGGACAAGTGACCCTGGTTTGAAGTCAAAGTCTTTGATTGTACATTCGAAGTTAGTGACAAAATCTTTGACAGAGGTGAAGCAGGATTTAAGCACTAGGTCATGAATGTGGGCAAGGTCTTCTGGACATTTCTGAAGTTGGCAAGCATGGTGAGTGATGAGTTCTGTCATCAAGAAAAATTCTGCCTCAAAACATCAGTAAATCACTTTTGCTGGCCAGAGCTGTCCAGCACCAGACAGATTCCCTAGGACTACCAGCTCACAAAGTGGTCTACTGATGAAGGGGCTAAGAATGTTGCCTCAGTGAGGTCAAAAGGGAGTCTAGGTTTGATGCTGTGAGCCATGTAGAACAGAGAAAACCCAGTTGCCTTGTGAATTGTAACCCTCTCTGCCCAGAATACTGCAGGAGCAACTTCTGACCATTTTGATGCCTCTCCTCCACAACTTTTCACCAATGCCTCCCTCACATTGAAATGCTGTCACTCAACAACTCCATTAGCTTGTGAGTTATAGGGGGAGATACATATGTGGTGAATTCTGAAGGTCTTGGAAAGCCAGTCAAGGGCAAGGACATAGGGTCTGCCATTATCTGTAATGATCTCCATGACTGAACCCCAGCAGCACAAGATCTGTTTGAAGGTGAATTTTTTGATGGATTTACCAGTTTCTGTGTGAAGCATAGCTCACTCTGGATAGCTAGTGAGTGAACAGCAAGCTTGGGTGATGTAGTGAAACCTGTTTGACTTCAGCATTAAGAACATGTCCATGTATGCTTTGTAGAATAGGGGTTCTGGAATGGTGATGACTGGTGGAATATGTACATGATCCAAACAGCAGATTTGGCATTCATGACATGACTTGACATACCAGCAGACACCCTGCTCTAACATAGGCCACCAGAAATGAGTCATAAAACACATGTGGGTTGAGAAGATACCCTTGTGCCCTAGCTTGTCATGAGCCTGATGAAGAATTCCAAGGCATTTGTGTGGGGTGACTACTAGTTGGTGACATCCTTGAGGCTCTTTTCTCCACAGCTCTCCTCCTTTAACAAAATACTGCATGGCGAGACATACTAGGCTCTCCAATTCCCCTTCCTCCAATCCTTCTGGTGTCTTCTTCATCTCCAAAAACTCCACCACTTTTAACCTCTCCTCTCTCTGGATCACTTTCTCTGATTGCAGAATTTCCATTTCATAGTTATGCAGTGGAGATTGTTCAGAGAGGAAAATGCCTAGACTCTGTGGTATGGCAGAGGGTGAGTCTGACAGGGTACTTGGAATTTCCAAAGGGTAAGGCTGAGACTCGAAATGGGCCTCCCTATGATTCAAGAGTTTGACAGCAAAAGCTCTGCATTCATCTATCCAATCCTCATAGTCCCCTTCCCCATCCTCATCTTCTTCTGCTTTGGGCCTCCTCAACAGTCCATCTGGTGCTGCATGTTTGTGAGCTGGGACATGTATGAGCTTGAAGTCAAATAGAAGGATTCTGGCAATCCAGCAATTGATGGTTGCATTGGGCTGTAAATCAGGATTGTTAATCATCCCCTTGATATACTGTGTGTCAACCTTGACAACTAAATTCCACATGCCAAAGATGTGTAGTCTGACATCATGTAATGGTGCAGAAAAGACCAAAGAGCTCGAGTTTAGCTTGGCTGTAGTGGCGCTTGCAGTCATTGAGAGTTATTGAGCCAAACCTTGCAGGGTAACATTTTTCATCTCCCCCCTCCTGCATGAGGAGGTATCCTACAGCAATATTCAAAGTGTCAACTGCTAGAATGACCTTCCATTTGGAATTGTAGTTGATAGTACATAGTGCAGGAGACGAGACAATAGCCTGGCATAGATATTCCATGGCTTCTCTGTGTTTGTTGTGGAATTTGAAGGGGACATCATTCTTGGTCAGCTCAATGAGGGGACATGTGTGTTTAGCAAAGTCTTTGATAAAGATCCTGCAATACAAGCAAAGACCTAAAAATCTGTGCACTTCAGTAACATTTGTGCAGTAGGGCCAGTCTTTAATCTTTTGGACTTTAGCTTCATCCAGAATTCTCCCCTCAGATGACACCTTATGCCCAACCACTATGATAGATGATGCAGGGATGATGCATTTCTTTGCTGAGATGGTAGCTCCTGCATGATGCAGATGATGTAAGATGCAGTTGATGTTCTGCAGATGTTCCCAGATGAAATGTCTGATCCCAGGGTTTTGTATGATTGTCTGGTAGGTACCATTGGAATTTTGGTAATGAGATTTGGGGCCCTTGATTGGGCAGTCATCAATGAACAGGATGGTAACTTCCAGAATTTCATCCTTCAATATCCAACAGATGTCTCCATGGAAAATCTGGACAGCATTTGTGCAGCCCATAGGTAGCTTAGTGAGTTGTAGAGTACTGATAGGGGTTTGGAAAGTGGTAAGGTCATGGTATTCATCATGGATGGTGTGATGATCATATCTGACCATAAGATCTAAAATTCCATAGACAGAATGGCAGGCAAAAGCTTCTGCAATTGAGTCAACAAAAGGGGGAATGGCTGAATCCTGTATAGATACTGTGCTTAAAGGTTGTAAGTCATGGACAAGATGGAGAGATTTTCCATTCTTCTTGACTACACAGAACCATTTTGAGTGATAGGATGAAGTAGACAGCTCATAACACCTGTGGAAATCTTTTCTTTGATTATGTTGACAACATTGCAAAAAATGGCTGGGGGTATGGGGATATTCTGCTCAACCCAAGGCTTGTAGGTGCTGATAGGTATCTTCAGGGCAGAAACATATCTTCTCGAAAGGTTCTTCTTTCTGAAGCATCCCAAGTGAAGGTGGCCTCATGTGTCTTGACCAGCCATCATACCAGATTCAACTCCACAGGCAAGAGGAACTTTGAAGGGTCCAGATCAAGCTCATCAGCTCTTTCCTGGGTAAACCTGGAACCTGGCATGAATGGAGGAGGGTGAGCAGGTAATACAGGTAAATCTGCAAGAGGATCTTCAGCCTCCCAACGCTCTACCTGGAATTCCACAGGCATCAACATTGGTACAGGCCTGACCTTCTTTGCTACAGGTTTGTACTTTAAAAAATGAAGAACAGGATTGAACTGGTAAGTAGAACATAAAGCTGAAATTGTTAGTGGTGAAACAGTAGTGCCAGTGGAAAATAAGAAGGGGTCATTTGAAGAAACAGAACTTACATTGAATGGATCAACAGGGGGCATACTGTTGCTTTGTAGATTGTAGATAAATGCTGCAGTGGAGTTTTCAAAAGTGTCTGTAGGTGAAAGGGTAGTAGTCTTCAAAGGTAATAAAGGAGGATCAGAAACATAGAGAGAACACATGGAGAAAAGATTATCATGGCCTCCTTGCAATCCAAATGAGTCATTGACCAACACTAAAAACCCTGCTCAGGCTGTTTCATATGGCAATGCATTTCCTTGCATGCAAAGTAGTCTTCTTTGTCTTCAGAATTTATGAATTGTGGAAGAAGTTGTAGTCTGTTTTGAGGGCATGTCAGAATTAATACCTGTCTGCCCATGTTAGGGTCACAAATCTCTAGAGACTGCTCTCCATCAGGGAAATCCTGAAGGATACTAGTGAGTAGGCAGAAGAAGGGTTGTCAAAGAAGTAGGTCAAATGGAGCGCAATCGATGACTTGAATCTGGAGATGGGCTTTGACATTCCCTATGCACAAGGAAGTGTTCTCTATGACTCCTAGAGTACTCTCTCTAGACTGGTTAGCAGCTTTGAGGGTCATGCTCATGTCAGAACAAAGAGGAGCCCCTAGAGCTTCCCATAATCCTTGATGTAAGGCTACCACTTGGCAACCACTGTCTAGGATACACTTGACATGGAGTTTGTCCATTAGGATGCCATTGATGGCATGTAATGGCACAGTAGTGAGGCCTACACACTTCCCTTCTGTGTCTCTGACCCAATACTGTTCATAGGACACCCAGGTAGCAGAGGCAGTAGCTTCTGATGCTGTTTCTAAACTCCCAATTGTTATCTTCTTCATCACAGCTAGCTCTCTGACCCGCTTGAAAATCTCCAGGCCAACAGCTAAGAGGTCTCTGGTGGAAATTTCCATCTTGGCATCTAAGACCTGGTTTACAAGTCATTTGGTAGCCACTGCTTTGTTGAAACTGCTCTGATAATGAAATTGGGGTGCAGAATTTGTTGTAGGCTTGGATTTCTGGAGATCTGTGGGATTAGAGATGATTGGAGTATTAGTAATGGCTGGGATCTCTGTAGAAGGGACAGAATTGGTTGGTGTGGAATGGATGACTGTCTTAGAGGCAGCTGGCATGCCAGCAGGTGCAGGA